CCCCCGGTTCTACGCTCGCTTTGTGCTACCGGCCGCCCCCTCCGCGTTTACATGTACGATCTCCCTCGGAAATTCCACGTCGGCATGCTGGATCGCCGGAGCTCCGAGGAAGCAGCTCCTGTGACCATGGAGAATTTGCCGCCGTGGCCATCGAGTTCGGGGATAAAGAGGCAGCACAGCGTGGAGTATTGGCTGATGGCATCGCTCCTTTACGATGGCCAAGATGAAGATGAGAGGGAGGCCGTTAGGGTTTCGGATCCCGAAAAGGCGGACGCTTTCTTTGTGCCATTTTTTTCTTCGTTGAGTTTTAATACACACGGGCATAATATGACGGATCCTGAGACTGAGATCGATCGCCAATTACAGGTTCCTAAACGCTAATTGGTCGCTTTTAGCTGTTTATTATTATTATTATTTTTTAACGGTGGTTGAATGCGTAGTCTGCGGTTGCCTTGTTTTATTAGCAGTGTTTCACTGGAATTGAACTTGGTAGCTTTGTTTTTAAATAGTAACGTGATTAATGGTTTACTTAGTTTAAGGAACGGAAAGAAACTAGATTGGAAAGTTGGGATTTAGTTGTTTCGATCCTAAAAATAAATAAAATAATTACTGTTTTTGTTTTCTAATTCCAATTTGAAACACTTCCTTCGCTGATATTGAATACCAGGAAAGAAAATAGGAGACTTTGTCTCTCTGGCAGATGAGATTAGATGTGGGTAGCATTGGAAGTTATGAAAGGGCGCATGCTAAGAATTTTAGGTACATTACCACTTGATTACTAAGTAGAGGAAAAGAAATGATGCTTGCTAGTGCTTTTGACATGTTGAAGAATTAGCCGATGATTCAGGGAACTAGCCTTGTGGAATGACAAAAGGTTTGATTTCATGGAATTGATTTGTGAAATGTTGCTTTTAAACATGTATACACATTGTTTCCTCAAAAAAACATGTATACACATTGGAAAGGTTTGAATGTCTAAAATTATGCTTTTCAAAAGAAAAAAAAACATGTATACACATAATAATTTGAGTTAATCTTTGGATCATGACACATCCTATCCTTAGTCAATCATTCCATTATTGATGGTATTGATTACTAGAGAAAGGAGGACCTATGCATGCTTCTTGGTTTTTTTTTGAAGAGTGTAGAGTAAATGTTTGTTGCTATTCTCTCAATCTTTTTTTCTAAAGAACATTTATATGTAGTCTTTGCTATCTGCAAGCAAGCAGTGAAGAACAATTTAGGACCACGCAGAGGTTGATGGAAATATTATCTGGCTTCACTCATTAAGATTCTGTTATACTATTAAAATACAAATTTGCGCAAACATTTTGAAAAGACTATTTTTTCCCTTCTGCTGCTGATGAGTTTCTCTAGTTTGTAGTTCATGCTTTGTGTTTTACTTGTACTGTTGACTGCTACTATTATCTAGTACTTCAGTTTTCTAATCTGAATTGTATCTCCTCTAGGTTGAGTTACTCGAATTCTTGCAGCAATCCAAGGACTATCAAAGGTCTGGAGGCCGAGACCATGTAATTCCCATGACACATCCAAATGCTTTCAGATTTCTTCGAGAGCAATTGAATGCATCTATTCTTATTGTCGTAGATTTTGGCCGCTATCCTAAAACCATGTCAAGTCTTAGGAAAGATGTGGTTGCCCCTTATGTACACGTTGTGGATTCCTTCACAGATGATGACCCTCTAGACCCGTATGAGTCTAGAGCTACTCTTCTTTTCTTCCGGGGGAATACTGTCAGGAAAGATGTATGATAGTTTTTAAGACTCAAATATTCTATTCATACAACTTCTGTTCGATCTGAGTAATATTACTCAACTCAAGGCCATTTTCTCTTGCAGGAAGGCAAAATTCGAGTTAAACTGGCAAAGATATTGGCTGGTAGTGATGATGTTCATTATGAAAAGAGTGTAGCAACTCCAAAAAACATTAAAATGGTATGCTGCTTCTGTAGGCCCTAGGAAGTATGCTATTTTCTAGACATTCAAATCACAAAGTGATGATCCTTGTTTCCTACATTCTTCTGGCTGTTGAAAAAGGATCTGCTTGTCAGTACATGTTATGGAGGCTTTCAACAGCCATGAGTACCAATTTTTAGTGGCACCGTGACGGTGCTGTTTGTACTTTCTCTTTGGATGTTTTGACATTGTGTGATACCTATGGCACTTAGATTCAGACAATAATTTTGTAATGGAAATTTTTTCCACTCTAGTATGGTTAATAATTCTTCCAAAAATATTTAAAATCTAAAACAAAATAATCTCCTTTTCAATCTGTAGGGACAGTTTGGAGTCAGTTTGCATTCTCTAATAAATTTTGATGCTATGACTATGCTAACTATCTTATTTCTTTCATCTTCTTGTGTATTAGTCTACAGAAGGGATGCGTTCATCAAAGTTCTGTCTGCATCCTGCTGGAGACACACCTTCATCTTGCCGACTATTTGATGCTATTGTGAGCCATTGTGTTCCTGTGATTGTCAGTGACAAAATCGAGCTTCCCTATGAGGATGAAATTGACTACACTGAATTCTCTATTTTCTTCTCTATGAAAGAGGCGTTAGAACCAGGTTATTTGGTCAATCATCTGCGTCAATTTCCAAAAAGTAGATGGGTTCAAATGTGGAAGTTGCTTAAGAATATTTCCCGTCACTATGAGTTCCAGTACCCTCCAAAGAAGGAAGATGCTGTCAATATGTTATGGAGACAGATAAAGCACAAGCTTCCAGGTGTCCAACTTGCTGTACATAGAAGTAGAAGGTTGAAAGTTCCAGATTGGTGGCGGCGGAAGAGATGACTTGGAATCTTGCTTTTATGACACTGTGCATCACAATCTTCTTTCATTTATAGTGACACCCCATGGCTGGGAAGAAGTAAAGGTACTCAGAAGTCACAACCAAACACCATGGGCCAGCTTCACTGAGCTCAGGAGTTACGGTTGGGGCTTCAATTTTTTTTTCCCTCCTATATTCCAGCATTCTGAGTGAATGAGGAAGTGAATATTAAGATTCATTCCCAGTTATTTTTGTCTGACTACAGTTAATAATGTTTTTCCATCAGTTTATAGTGCAGAAGTGATATAGATAATGTAATGACTTAGGATTTACACATGTAGAAACATTTGAGAGGTTGTGTTGAATAGGTTCTAATCTTGCATTCAAATCTTGTGTAAGGTTATTCAATGAAAGTGATCAAGCTAATTCATTTACCTGAAAAAACTGACTTTAAGCTTTTCTTTTAATTGGTCTTGTACTGTAGAAGGAAGCTTCGTTTTGGCAAACATGCGGAAATACTTTTTGTCATTGTTTTCTAATCTCGTGGTAGCTTTGAGACTTGGGACTTAAGAAAGCCTGCCCGGATGCAATTTCAGCAACAAGGGATGTTGAAATATTGCTGTCACGTTGAAATTCTGGAAGCCATTTTCCAACTGCTCCAATTAAGATATATATTCAGCGATCGAAACCGAAGATCTAAGTTGGACTATGTCATGTCCTGTCTGGTTTATTGCTTGATTGGATTTCATCCGTGGAAAGACTTCGGGCATGTTGCCTACAAACGCGTCGCTGTCTAAACCTAAAGAGGCTTTGGTTTTCTTAGAGCTGGTAAAGAGACCAAGAACTACTCATTCCTGACTTGAGAGATTTTTTTGTCTTTGTTTTTCGCTTGGTGAAGCTTGGCTTACCAGCTACAGGGAAGTAAATTTCAAGCACCCAACCACCAAGGACAACAAGAAAGCCTTCGTACCGGACACCCTCTCATACTCACAAAAGGTTCAAAGGGGGAAAAGAAAAGCATAACATCTTGTCTGGAAAGTGAAATCTCTACCTAAAACAATGCTGGGCTGCTATAGAAAAATCAGCGACAGGACTTCTAAAACTCAGAGCCGAGTTTCTTGACAATGGGGCCTTATTTAATCTCTTCGCTTTGAACACTAAAATACGAGTCAAATAAGTTGTATACGAGGAACAAGTCTATCGACGCAGCTAATCTTCAACTAAACTCACAATGAGATCTTTAATTGGTAGTTATTTGAGAGAGCTCAAGGAGTAAGTAAAGCACCTGATAGTTATAAAGTATCTTATCTCGAATTCTATTACTTGATAAAATATTTAAATTTTATAAATAATCGATTAAATTTTGAAATTGCTATCAAGCTCATACTCGAATTATTCTAGACACTGCCTAATAAATACTCAAATTTATTAAATATTTAATTTAAAATTAATTTTATATGTATTATTAATAAAAATTAAATCTAACTCAACATTTAAAATTGTATTTAGAACAATGAATGAATTTTATAAATATTATATAAATTTAAGTAATTTATAAACTAAAAATAATATACATAAAACTAAAATTTTATATTAAAAATTATTAATTATTATTAAGAAAATAGGTATTTTAAAACCACTACTCGAACTTTACTCAAACATATAACAAGTAATAGTTTTACTATCCAAATTTTATTCATATTTGATTATAAGATGTTTTAATCATATTTATAAAGTACTTATTGTCATCCCTAATAGTTATTCCTCCTCTACTGCTTTAAGGTGAACTTTTAGTATCACATTTTTCTTTTTTTTTAAATTCATTAGCTGACTTTTTTTATTTTGTTAATATATTTATTATTTATTATTTATTAAAAGTAATTAATATAAATAGAAATAAGTAACAAAAAATATGAAGCAAACGAAATGTAAGTTAATCCACATATTTTTTTTTCTTTTAATTAAAGATTATTGAACAGTCATTTTGGAGTCATAGGGTCATTGAAAAGGCAAACCCACAAGCAAATTATGGTTATTTGCTTGGAAAACAGAAACGTTATTTTCCTCTTTCTTGTCATTTTTACATAAAAGTAACTAATTAAGCAGCAGTCAGTGATAAAAAGGGGGCATGCATTTAGAAAGGAATAGCAGTAGTTGATAAACAAAGATTCCGTGCAATGTCAAAATCTGAAAGTGGTTGGATTAGTTGCACCAAAAAAGCTGTAGGAAGACTTGACGTGCTTGAAGTTTCTAAAATGCAATCCATCACATGAGAATATATAGACCAATATAATAATGGTTGGGTAGCACCTGATTTGCTTATAAAAGGATAAGAGTGAAGAGGGAGAATATCTAACCAAGTGTGGGAAGAGCACACACAAGGCTGGCAAGTAGATCTCAAGCAAGGTAACTCTCTCTCTCTCTCTCTCTCTGTTTTTACTTGTTCCTTTACGAAAATGGGTATAAATTCCATTATCAAGTTTTTGTTCAGATTTTCTAAATTGAGTCACATCAGCTGAAGGTTGCTTATTATTTGCTTACTTGTGCCATAATTTTGTCAAATTTGCCTTATTTTGTGAGACTTTGATTACTGACGGCAAATCAGCTTTCAACCGGAAAGAAGGGAAGACGACTTAAAATTCCATTCTGATCTAAATATGGAAGAAAAACACAACCACGCACTTCATTTCTTTCTTCTTTGTGGGTCACCTAGCAAAGCTTTACACTACGTCTCTATTGCAAAATTCTTCTCCTTTCTCTTTCAAAATGACCTGTCTTATCCAAAGCCTTTGTTTCCTTTCTCTTATCATTTGCTTGTGAATTCAACTCCCAACTCATCAAATTGAAAATTTACACCCATTAAGTAGGTCAAAATAAAATTGCAAGCATATTGACCAGCTATTATTAAAAATTTTACATAATATTTGAAAAAAAAGTGATTGCACTATTTAAAAAAATTTAAATAATAGGGCATAGCCCTGAGCCCCGGACCCAACCCAGACCAAACAGCAATCGCATTTCTAGGTTTGTTTTTACAGTTGGTTTTCCAGCATTAGCTATTTGAGTGCAATCCTCAAATTAGTAGGTGTTTTTGAAGACGCCTTTTTGCACTCACTCCCTCTTCTGTCAACCAATCCGTAGCTAGCTACATATATTGACTAAAAGCATTTATAAGCTAAACGGCTCACCCAGAGGCTTAAATATAAAAGATAATAAAATACCAAAAACAATGGAAGTATATAGTATTTTACTATTAGTTTAGTTACTACTTTTTTCCTTTACTTCACCTCTAAACATCAACTTCGATTCATATATGTCTCTATATATTTTAATATACTGATAATAAAATACCTAAATTATTAATCATGTATTTAGTATGCTAACTAATTCAATCGCTTAGTATAATAATTAGTTTCAACACTATAGATTGCTTGTAAATTGGGACTTGGGTTGGAGAAGGAAGGCCCCAGGTGATATGATATTTGATCAATAGGCATCGTCAAATCGCACTTGATGGCAATTTGGACTCCTCCAAATCAAATTCAGCTTTCACAGACCGGTGAAATGTCAGTTCCTTTGTTTCCTTTATTTTTTTTTTTAAATGGTCAACTAGGGACCATCTTAATTTTGGCGTTGTGATGGAGCAAGTCCAATGCCCACCAAACAGGCGTTGAATACTTTGCCTCGAAGGTCCAAGATAGCCACAGTGTTGGACTATGTGTACATGTAGCAAGTTGTGCTTGCCAAAGTTGCATTGTTATTTTCCTCTTGTTTGATGCCTCTTTTACATTTTTTTTTTCTCTCCTCTCCTTTGATTACGACTAAGAATCACTTATGAAAGCGAAATGTTGACTTAAAATTTCGTATGCATCCAAATACGCTTGACCTAAATTATTAACTATTCTACACATTGCTGCAGATCATATGATCCTAATATACTTTTTTACTTACAAATTCTTTGCTCGATGCAATTCAGTACATAAATACAAGACTCAGTGAAGCTGAAGCCACATTGCAAAAGCTTTAAACCATGGCAGATTGGAGCAAGAAGACCATCCTTCGAAGCGATGCCCTTCTGCAGGTCTTTTTTTCTTTTTTTGGGATAATTACCAAGTCTTTAATTTTAAGTACTTTCCTGCTTGGTCTATTTTGCTCTTATTGTATTAGTGCTCTTTATTGTACTGCAGTACATCTACCAAACAAGTGCTTATCCCAAAGAGCACGAGCAACTGAAGGATTTAAGAGAGGCCAGTGTCGAAAAGTATAAAGATTTGTAAGTTGATCTCTCTTTTGGTTTAGTTATAATTTGAATTGCATCCACTTTCTTCTTTGTTAATTCTATATTATCGGGCAATGATAGAAAAAAATGTAGCAACTTAAAAGAGAGAATTTAAGCATTTGATTGAAAATTTGTGTAATTCTTTTTCTCTAAATATTCAATTAATCACTACAGGAGCGTTATGAATGTACCTGTTGATGAAGCACAGTTCCTCTCTATGCTTCTAAAGATAATGAATGCCAAGAAGACCCTGGAAATTGGAGTTTTTACAGGGTATTCCCTGCTTGCTACTGCCCTTGCGTTGCCCGAGGATGGCAAGGTACGATCGATTTTATGTTTTTCTTATGATCATCAATTTATGAGTAAAAAAAATCAAATCTTGTAGCTAGCTAGCTGATATCTAAGTGGCAATGGTTTTGGCAGGTAATAGCTATCGATCCCGACAAAGAAGCTTACGAGACTGGATTACCATTTATTAAGAAAGCTGGCATTCAGCATAAGATTAAATTCATCTCATCCGATGCCTTTTTAGTTTTAAATGATCTTATTAAAAATGTAAGTATATCGGCATGCTTCGTATAAGAACGTAATTCTCTGCACCTTCGATTTTCAAACTTTGTTTGATTTCCAAACTTTGCAGGGTGAAGAAGGGACCTTCGATTTCATATTCGTGGACGCCTACAAGAGCGACTATCTTAAATTTCATGAGCTGACATTGAAATTGGTCAAGGTTGGAGGAACCATAGCCTACGATAACACTTTATGGTATGGTTCGGTTGCAGAATCCGAGAAAGAGGTCACCGACGACCTTATTAAGATGTTTAGAAATTTTGTTATTGAATTCAATAGCTTCATTGCCGCTGATCCTCGAGTTGAGTCATCACTCCTTTCCATTGGTGATGGCCTCACCCTCTGTAGGCGTCTCTACTAGATAAAACCTTACTACTAGTGTGTTTAATTTGAAACGTAAACGAACTTACATCTCCATGTTTTAATCAGTTTGAATGATCTTTGACTTATTCATGTTGGGATGAGCCGTACAGCCAATTGCAATTGGAAGGCTTGATTCCAATCATGCAACAACATTATTTATGTTGAATGATTAAAGGTTTTTTTTCATCAATAAGACATCAATTATAACAACTTATAAAGTCTAATTGGATGAAGTCCATGAGATTAATATGTCTTGCAAGGAAACTGTAATATATTACAGTTATGAGATTTTTATGCATGAAAACGTAATCTCAAAAATATTCCTGGTCAATGTATCATTGAGACTGAGCATCAATGATGCCTAAAGATTAGTATATTCTATGTTTCTTACTTGAGAAATAAGCAACCGATCTCATAAATTGAAGTATAGAGATACTTAAAACTAGAATGTAGGTCCTTACCTAGGAAAGCAAATTCACTGAACATGACCTGTCGTGAAAAGTGCATTTGGTATTTCACTCAAGTGTACATGCAATACTTCTCATGTGTTAGTTGTGTAAATAATCCCTAGACTTGAGACACCAGGTTGTCTTATATGTGGAGTGTTATACTTTGATTTTATCCCTATGGGTGCCTAACCAAGGATACCAAAACGAGATACTTTTGGGTATAGCATGAAGCATGTGGAGGCAAATGAGTGGCCAAGATAGGAATCATCAACCCAAGTGATGCAATAGACATTTCCTAATAGTTCTTGGTTGATATTAGCTTATTGAAGTCCTTGGCCAAAACGACTTGAAGATTATGAAAGGAGTTTCATAAGTCTTTATAAAGTTGATGATCAAACTTTAAGAATGAATATGGAGATCAATAAAAGTAGACACTGCACCATACTCTAATCATCTCCGAGATATATGATGAGGGAATGGATTACACTGAAAAGCTGATCACTGAAATGTTGAGTCAAACCATCTTGACTCTTCTAACGTTTGGGTGGCCATGACGGATTGCTAAATCCCAATCTTGACCTATGAATTCTAGGTAGTTAACTTAATTAATGATAAATTTAAAGTAGTTTAAATTTATCTAATTCTAAAGTTAACTTAGGAATTATATGTTGAGTTCATTGCCAACATGTTAGAAGCTTAATGGGTCACACACCTAAAATAAATGTTGAAAATAAAATGGGAGAGCTGATTAAGTTGGACTTAATCAAATTAGAAGTTATGAGCTTCTCAAGTACTTCATTAAAATTGTTTAATTAAGTTGTGCCTAATTCATTAAATTATTTAATCAAGTCATTGGGTCTAATTAATTAAATTAAACAATTAATTTATTGGGTCTAATTGATTAAATTTGTTTAATTAAGTTATTGGGCCTAATTGATTAAATTGTTTAATTAAGTTATTCGGCTTAATTGATTAAATTTGTTTAATCAAGTTATTAGGCTTAATTGATTAAATTGTTTAATTAAGTTATTAGGCCTAATTGATTAAATTAAACAATTAAGTTAATTGAGCTTCTTAAGGAATTAATTAAATTATTTATTCAAATTATTGAATTAATTTGCAATTACAAAATAATTTTGTAATTATGGTTTAAAATTAATCCAAGGTACAAATACCTTGCTATAGCCTTCAAACAAAAGAAAAGAGAAAAGACTGAAAAAGAAAGGAACGGCAGATTAGAAACTCTTTTTCTTGCCATTCCTTGTGTGAAGAAAAACAATTTTCATTCACTTTATTCCTTTTCAGCCCCATAATTTTGTGTGGGTTATGAGTTTATGAAACTCATCTTTGCTAGCACATTGTTAAGGCATAGCACTCACAATCCTTAAAGAAGGATTTTCTAATTCATTAGTGTAAATCACCATTAGAGGTTGCACAAGGATTCTTTGGACAGCTTTGGTTTGCAACAATCGGGCTGAGGTGGTTGAGCTTTTTGAAGGCAAATTGGTGGTTTAACAAAGGATTCATCAACCTTTGTTGTTAGGTAAATTTGATATGATCATACAAATATATTTTATTTGTAATTTAATTTCATACTCAATTCGACATGAAAGAGATCTTAGGAAGGTGAGGTGTAATTTAATCTTAAATCTATTTCCACTACGTTTATTTGTATTTGATGTATGATCAGCCCTCACCCAACAATTTATTGGCATGGCTTTTTGAATTGAATTTTTCTTGTCAATTTTGCATTTGAATTGCATATGGTTTTCTTTAGAAAGTGCATAATAATTGGTAATTAAGTTCGAGACCTAAATGAAAGACATAGTTATTGGATCTAAGAGATGTAAACATGCACATGGTAATCAGAGGTGTTTTTTTTTTTACTTAAAAACTATTTAAGTAGTACGTCATATCAATATGTTAGAATACAGAAAATAATGAAATGACTCCAAAGCGTGTATCAAAACCATTGTTCTTAAGGGTTTATTAATCTCCACTAATAACATGTAAAAGAGTTATAAGTGATAAACCTCGAGAATACAATTAAGCCTAGAGATTGATTGCGACTAAACCAATGCATCATGCATCCACCAATGTATGGTAAGATTACCAAACTTTTATCAAATTTTTTTGCAATAGAATCATATAGAAGAAATTTGTATCATATTGAAAAATAGAAGAGAGATGATTTTTTGCAACTTTTGAGTGCTTTTTAAAAATCGAAAGAGAGTCTACTTAAAGGCTTGATTGTTTGTTCTTAATTCATATAACAGTTTGTTTCCACCACAAATATTTCTGTTAAAAGTTAATTTATTTTTTAATTAACTACAAATGTCAAGCATTTTTATAATATATTAATTATATATTATTAAATAAATTAAATTTTAAAACCAACCAAGACTCAGATTCTCACACTTATGATCTGACTTAATAGGTTTTTGGTATTTTTCACCTATATGTTTGTAAAGTTTATTAGCCTGTTAGTCACATGCAAATTTCATTATCCCATTATTTTAAAACGTCCTTCTAGTTAAAAGTGTTCTCATCAATAATTGGTGTGGGCTCATCAATGCAAAAGGCTATGTCTATGTTTTGCTTATAACCAAAACAAAACACAAATCCAAATTCCATCTTTTATAATTACACACATAAAGTGTTACATCTCATTTTGTGGAGAGATCGTGACCAGTGCAAGAACTTAAATGAGTATCGACGCTAAGCCCAAGCAACCCTCCTTACTTTCTTCCATACCCATTATGGTTCATTAACCATCATCATGATACATAAAGCAATCAATATACCATCACATGCATATATCCATAGGTGATAATACACAATTATGGAACTTCTTAACATAAATAGTGTATTTGTTTCCATTCATTATTAACATAAGTGTCAAAACTCTTATATCATATCATATGATTATTTATCTACACTCTCAAGTGTCCATATTATTGGCTCCATTAGTTTTTGATGATAATAAAATATTCCCATTTATCTATGTCTAACCTTTCTACTTGAGTGTGTAGGACGAATATATTTAGTTGATCATTTAAAAGACAATATCAAAACTAATAAGAATAAAGAGCTATAAGTGAGCAATGAAATGAGAAGCCTCTAAGTTGAATAATCAAGGGAGTTGGTTGGATAAAACTCAAAAGAGAAGCTAGCGGGTTCAAGCAAATCGTGAAACAGAGAGCACTTAGTCAACCAAGAGACAGAGTTAGTTGACTAAGAGCTTATTGCCAGAAACTGGGTTCAGAGACAAAAATGACTCAATCGACTAAGAGAGTTTGTCAGTCAACTAAGAGGGTACTGTCAGAAATGTTCAAAGACAGAGCCTATTGCCAGAAACTGAGTTTAGAAACAAAGATAACTTAGTCGACTAAGTGATATCGATTAGTCGACTAAGAGCATTCTGTCTGATAGTTTGAACTGACGCTAAAAAATAAAATAACAGACAGAATTGCTTTTTAAAAAATAAAATAACAGACAGAATTGCTCCCAAACTATTTCCAAGGGTCAGAATCTGTCTAGCTACCATCAGAGTTGATTTTTCAAGTATAAAAAGTCCTCATAACCACTAAAAATCAGATTTGAAGGCTTCCAAGATAAAAAACAGCTCAAAAACCTTAAGAACACTATGCATATTTTTTACACTTCACTCCAATCTTTGTAACAGAGTTAAGAATTTCATCTTGTATAATCAGATCAGGTTAATGATCATTGGTACCTCTTTATTTCTCTTCTCCTTGATTGCTTAGAGTGTGCGAAATACTCTAAGGGGATTAATCAAGCTTGGGTTAGCTTGATTAAGTGTATAGGTTCTAACTCAGCCTAGAAAAGTTAGTTTTTGGGTTTTGGTTGATCTTAGGAAAAACCATTGTTGAAGGTTGTAGCTGAGCCTGTGAAAAGCCATTGTAAAAGCTTGGTGAAAGCTTCAGAATTTCACCGTCTATAGTGATTTGGTTTGGAAAATCCTTGGTTGAACAATCAAGGTAGAGGATGTAGGTCTTTGACCGAACCACTATAAATCTTTATGTTTTGTTTTCCATGCTTTCTTTTTTATTTCATTCTTTGTTAGATTATTCTTTATCTTGCATTTAACTTAAAACTTGCCCACAATAGAAGAAAAATCTTGTAAGAGCCAAAAAGTGCTATTCACACCCCTCTAGCACATTTATTTAGGACCAACACATATAGGCCCTCGAGCCACCTTTGAACATATAAACATAACATTCATAAAGTAAATTCCAACCATTGGCTACACCATCATAAACATGTTCAAATATCCATAAAAAAGACCAACTCGTTAAGGAAACATGACTCGAACCTGTAAGCAATATGTGATTGCTAGACACCTACTAAAAAAAGAAGACTGGGAGCTCATATTTGCAACATGGGTGCAAACTAATTACTAATTTGCAAAACAAAAATAGGAAAAGTAATGTGTAATTCATAAAGACTTTACGAGTGGATACAAGGAAGAGGACAAGCGAAGGGAAGTCTTTGTAACCTTGCATTTATAATCTCATGACATTCATAAAATTTTTCAATTTCCATAGTACTCATGAAACATATCATTTAAATACATTTCCAAAAACATTTAATTCAAAACAAGTTTGCATAAATCGTTGGAAACCATTTGCCTTTGAAAATCCCTTAAAAACACTTGAAAACCCAATTTTGTGAAGAATTTATTGATACATTTGGGAATGTATTGGTAGATTTCACTCAAAATGTCTCATTCTATATTCC